AGTTATGTAATAAAGTGACATAATTATCTTCCCTACACTCTTAAAAATAAAGGTGCTTCACGATGCCATAGAAGAACCTTTTTGTCTAAATGGTTCCATAAAGAACCTTTAACATCTGAAGAACCTTTCTGTTTCACAAAAGGTTCTTTGTGTTGAAAGAAGGTTCTTCAGATTATAAAAAGGTAAGAAAGAGATGGTTCTTTAAAGAACCTTTGACTGAATGGTTCTTTGTGGAACCAAAAATGGTTCTTCTATGGCATCGCTTGAAGAACCTTTTGAAGCACCTTTATTTTTAAGAGTGCATCTAACAGTCCAGAAAATAATTTGATCTGAGGGCAACTTTTATTTTTTCCCTTCAAAATATAAATTTCCTTGTTGTCTGGTGATTGTTTTACATATAACATATAAATGGTTATGAAGGTGTTTCTCATTACAATTTAATTTCCTTCTTCCTCGTATATATTTACAGATACATTTATATTTTTTGCTGGGGTTCAGGACTGGACATGTCAAAAAGTTATTTCACATCATACAGTACACCATTTCTTTATGCATCTTGGTTGCAGGTGTACTGTCTCACAAGAACACAAAATGGCCTAAACTATTTTCTTAAGGTGGAAGCATAGAATGTCAAATAGTTTCAACAATGCCAGAATCATGAGTTAATTATAAGGATTGCTCACGCTTTTTGACCATGTTTCTGATGAGTCACTTATATTTGAGAAACCCTTTTCATCATCAAAGAAGTTAAAATATGAAGCTGATTAGCATCCCTTTACATAGAAAATGTGCTGAACAATAGCGTAGTGCTCCCTCCCATCTGATTATAAGGCTCTCGTCTCTTTTACAGATGATTAATCAAATGTTTTTGATGCTCTGCAAACATCACTATGGAACAACAACAGAGACATAAATTGAGGTACTGAAATTTTTTTTTAAATACCATAATTTAAATTTTTTATTTCTTAAACGTATTATTATTTACGTTTAAATTATTATTTAAATTATTTTAATATTCTATTTTCCCCCAAAATTTTATTTATTTTGAAAAGTAATTATTTAATTATTTCTGCTAAGAATATATATATATATATATATATATATCAACAATTCTGTGTTTTTCTGTCAATATGGGGTGCTGTGTGTACATTAATGAGGAAAAAAAATTAACTTAAATGATTTTAGCAAATGGCTGCAATATAACAAAGAGTGAAAAATTTAAGGGGGTCTGAATACTTTCCGTACCCACTGTATATAGATATAAATACATGCATGTATATATTTAAGAAAATGTTGTTTATATATTATGTATATTTATATATATATATTATATATTATATATAATATAAATATATAAATGTATATACATGTAAATATTTTCAAAATATATACAGTATGTGTGTGTATTTATATATACATAATAAACACAGTACACATACATATATCATGTAAACAAAAACTTATTTTGGATGCGATTAATTGCGATTAATGATTTGACAGCACTAATATATATATACATAGGCGGAGGGTGAACCAACTCCAGGGTAAGACTAAAAGCAGCCAAGTGTATTTGTAACGGGGCTGACGAGACGTGAGACGTGTAGATCCATCTGCAAGCTTTTATTAAAGAGACGTGGTATAACAGGCAGGGTCGAACAATGGCAAACAGGTATATGGGGGGCAAAAACACAAGAATAGTCCTAGGGCTAGCATAGGTCACCGATCGGCAGACAGAATCACAGGGGTGAGACAAGAGGGAAAAATCCAGGAAAACAGGCAAAGATCAGAAACCGAAAAAACAGGCAAGGCAAAACAAGAAAACCACAGAGACTCGGAAAGGGGTACAGGCTAAACAATACTCAGCAGAGAATGGTGGTTTGAGGGGGTGTTATATAGTGAGTGAGGTGATAAGAAACAGCTGTGTGCAATGAGTGCAATCAGTGCAGTGTGCAAATCGTGCAATGAATGATGGGATATGTAGTCCGGGGTGCTATGCAACAGTTTGTGTTGTGCGAGAGTCAATGTAAAGGAAAGGGTGACCTCTGGTGGTGAATAAACGGAAGTCCATGGACCAAATTCGTGACAGTATTAAATATCATAAACCCGTCTTTTTAGGCAAGAACCAGACATGGGTGTCATGTAGGCTAAAAATTTTTTTTATTTGTATTTAACTTGATTACAATTTAATAAAAACGTTAGAAATGGATAATTACATAACGTTCCTTTATAGAAAGTGACATTATCACTAACATTGATCTATCGTGAGTCTCAAAAAAACAAAACTATAGTCCAGAATTCAGTCAGCGAACACAAGCGCACTCAACAAAACTGATCAGTTTGAACGATGACTCATCTGAACGCTTCTGATTGGCCATTCATTCCTAAGCTCAACAGAATTGTGTGTGATTGGTTAAAATGCGCAACACTGTAAAAACACCTAAAATGAAATACGGTGCAACATGAGCAGATCTTAATTCAATGCCGCAATCGACACTGTCTATTCATATTCACTTTGTTAGCAACAGACGTAATAGATTTAATTAGTTTGTACAGGGGCATTTGTGTCCAATTTTGTGTGTGTGTGTGTGTGTGTGTGTGTGTGTGTGTGTGTGTATGAAGAGTTCATTTGCAAAAACCGATAAACGCCACTTTAAAAAAAATACAGTGCATTATTCTCCACATTGTAGTATCTTTAATAATAATCAGGCTACTACATGAACTGAGTTGAAGTTGACTCTTTACTTTCAGTTTGCAGCAGTTTTAGTAACAGACATAAACACTGCATACATCCTGCATGGCACATCTTCTTCAACTAACTATTCAGGTAGAACAGAACATTTGTAATACAAAACCGACACCTAGTGGTTACTGCAGGATACTACATTCCCTCCTTCTTAAAGGGGTCATATGATGCGATTTCAAATTTTCCTTTCTCTTTGGAGTGTTACAAGCTCTTGGTGCATAAAGAAGATCTGTAAAGTTACAAAGACTAAAGTCTCAAATCCAAAGAGATATTCTTTATAAAAGTTAAAAGTCAGCCACGCCTACCTAAAATGGCTGGTTCTAACACGCCCCCACATATCTACGTCACTATCTGGGAAGATTTGCATAACACCGCCCAAGTGTTCACGCAAAGAAAGAAGGCGTAACTTTTATTCTCGCTGTAGTATTGTTGCCGCCGCCACCATGTCCTGAAGGCGCTGTGTGCTTTGTTGTGAAAGCGAAACTACTTTGTTTGGCCTTTCAAAAGAGGATGATATCGTTTCGTCATGCCTGGAGCTGATCCTTGCTGGTCGCTGAGGAAATACTTAAACTTTGCGCTGTTGATCGCCGGATCGGCTTTCACCGTGGACGAAGAGGAGTCCAGCCCGGGGGCGTCACATGTGGTTGGCGCATATGGTGAGGGACGTAACATTTCCGTCACATGCTTGAGGAATTCGGCCAGTCACAATGCTCCGGATAGATGGCCAATCAGAGCACACCTCGCTTTTTCAGACCGATGAGCTTTGTAAAAATCGACGCGTTTCAGAAAGGCGGGGCATAGAGGAGAAACAGTAATGTACAGTATATGGAAAATAATGTGTTTTTTTAACCTTAAACCGCATAAACACATTTCATTACACCAAATACACAAAATAATGTTATTTTTAGCAACATCATATGACCCCTTTAAGCTATCAATTGGTTTGTCTTTTTTATTTACTTAGGTGTCTCTTTCTTGTTGTTATTATTATTACATAACCAAAATCACATAACTAAATACCAATAAAATTACTTAAAGTATATACCACTATATATCAACAACACATTATTAATATCTTATTGATTAGCACTTTTTTTTTTTTTAGAAAGAACTCTTCAACATCTATATCAATTATATTGCATTGATCATCTCTTACTGACTTGACATATGTCACACTCTTTCAAGTGAGCTGGAGAACGTCTCTCTCTTGCAGACCTTCTCAGATTTGTAAATTGGTTAGTCTCCTTTTCAACAACAGTCATTTCTAGTGATTGTCCTTTCTCAAGGGCAGACATCTCCTTCTCTGCAGGTGCATTGACAACATCCGCACTCGGTAATGCACAAGTGTCACCATCCTGTTCATTCTCTGTGGGCGGTACAGTCTCGAGCATCTTGTCGGTACTGCGAGTTCTTATTTGGTCCACATGCCTTTTCACGGTCGTTCCATGTCCTAGAGCGGTCTTGTATGAAAGAGGTCCGGTACAACTTTCCACTACTGCAGGAATCCATTTTGGTCCACCACTGTAGTTCCTGACATACACAGAATCTCCAGCTTCAAAACTTCTGAGTTTGCAACTCTTGTCATGGCCTTTTTTTTTGTTTCTGTTGTTTTTTTGGTCTTAACATCAGGAAGGAGTATGTCAAATGTGGATCTCAACTTCCATGACATTAACATCTGAGCAGGTGACAACCCAGTTGTTGCGTGAGGAGTGATTCTATAATTAAACAAGAATCTTGCTACTCTTGTCTCCACACTGTCACCTTTCATCTTTTTCATCCCCTCCTTGAAAGTTTGAACAGCGAGTTCAGCTAGGCCATTTGAAGAAGGATGGTAAGGAGCTGACGTTACATGCTGAATGCCATTCCTCTTCATGAAAGTTTCAAACTCTTCACTTGTAAAGCACGTTCCATTGTCTGAAACTAACATTTTAGGCAATCCATGTGTACTGACACACATTTTCAGTTTCTCAATGGTCATTTGGGAAGTGGCATGTGTGACAGGAAAAACTTCTATCCACTTGGAATGAGAATCTTCCAGAATTAGGAACATCCTTCCTAAGAAGGGCGGTGCATAGTCTACATGAAGTCTTTCCCAGGGTGAGCTCGTCCACTCCCACGGGTGCAAAGGGGCTTGAGCAGGTGCCTTTTTTAAACTTTGACACACTTCACATTTCTGCACCACTCTCTCTACATCCTGATCCATACCAGGCCACCACATGTATGATCGGGCCAATCCCTTCATTCTCGACATGCCGGAATGGGTCTGATGTAACTGTTTCAATACAGCTGCTCAACCTTGTGATGGTATAATGACTCTCGCTCCCCAAGTCACACATCCTTCCTTGACACTCAGAGCATCTTTCCTATTATAGTACAGTAACAGTTGTGGCTCTGCTTTCTCAGGCCAACCCTTTAATACATACTCATGTACCTTGGAGAGTGTTATGTCATGAGATGTCCACTTCCGAATTTGTTCTGCACTTACAGGTGAGTCATCCATTTACTCCATCATCAGCACTTGATCATTAGTGTCATCAGGTTCTCCCTCACCTGGAACTGGAAGTCTACTCAGCGCATCAGCATTTTGGTGGTACTTTCCTGGCTTGTACACAATGTTGTACTGATATGCTTGTAACATCACAGCCCACCTTTGCACTCTGGGTGATCCCATTTGAGGAACTGCCTTCTTCTCACAGAACAAATTGATCAAGTGCCTTTTTTTTGCAGGGCATGAGGCACAGATCTAGGTCTGAAAAACATGAAGAGTAGCAGTAGTGCCCCTTAATGTCCCAAGCTCCTCTTTGAACACTTCCTCATGCTTGGATAGCACCTGTTGCAACGTCATCATCTCCGACTGAAGCAAAGGGTAACCTCATCTTCGATTCCATTAGCCACGAAAAATTGCCCCAGTATTTCAGAGTACTCTTCCCATGTTTGAGCTTTTGCATCAAATGTTGCTAGTGAGCCAATAGTTCCTGTAGCCATGCTTCGTCTTCTTCTCTTTATCCCTTTTTAGATTCATCTGTTTCCCCCACAGCCAGTTATCAGCACATTGCTCTCTCTCCCTCTTTTTTTATAGTTATCCGTTTTTGCAAATGAACTCTATATAAACTTAGAACAATTCTCTACAAATCACATACACTTGGATACATGTATTTATAAATGTAAAAAAAATAAATCCTACAACTTCTCTTGCATGATAAATACCAGTATTTAGTTATCAATGAACTTCTTTAACATTACTCAGTCCAATGAATTTTCACTTTTCCAATAAGCTGTTCCCTTTTTTTCTTTCGAACCAGGCAATCTTGGGATGTGTGTAGAGAAGTACCAATCATTCAAGATGAGCTGAGGCCAAAGAAACGAGTGCAGTGTTTGAAATTGTTCTTGTGTGCCATTGTTGGCGTACTTGTCTTCACACTTGTGCTGCTCAGTAAAGTGAGCTTCTTTATTAATCACTGGCTAATCATTTTATAGATGATGGAATAACAGTTAAAGCGATAGTTCACACAAAAAATGAAAATTTGCTGTTAATTTACTCACTGTAAGATGGTGACTTTTTCTTCAGTAGAACAGTGAAGAAGATTTTTAGCCGAAACTGTGGTCCATGGTGATAAAAATGCAACTCAGCAGCTAGGCTACTGTTTTTTGAGAATAATAATAAAAAGCATATCAAGGAACACAAAATGAATACACGTGGCTCCTGACGATGTATTGATATATCTAATAAGTAGTTTGTTTACGCAATCATGCAATGACATACACAATTACTGTATATTATTAAATCACCCATTAATTAAGTGAAGCCTGGATGTCTAAAGCATATAAAGTGAATAAACTTGCCTTCATCAGCTCACCTTTTTACGTAAACAATATCACTAGCACATTGGTCTTCAGTGACTGTTACTGGAGTGACTGTCAGGCACGTCCGAAAGTGAGTTTTGATTTAGTAACTTGTAGATCTATGCTGCTTGAGCCACGAACTGTTCAAAACGTTCAGTCCGTTTTGATGAACTGGTTCAAGTAGTTCACCAAAAAGAATCAGTTCAACAGAAAGATTTGTTCGCAAACCAAATGGACTGTTTGCCTGAGGCTATGGATTAGGGATTAGAGGTAATAATGTTGTAAAATAATGTTCAGTTTTTTGCACAGGCTGATCGTTTCTCTTCATACGACCTCAATATATCGTCAGGAGTAATCTGGCAGGGGTCAGAAGTGGGCACAACACCGGTTTTCTGTTGATTTGTGCTACCCTGCCAGATTTTGCTACCTCCCATTAAAACAGTAGGTAGTACAATTCGACAACGAAAACTGCTACCTGTCAAATTATGGTTTATTAACGTCTGCACCTACCACAACCCTAAACCTACCCAGTAATGCAAATACAGTAATTATGTGTTATTCGCAGTTGTGGCTAGAAGGGATACAGCCACGGCCGGTGTTCCAACTAAAAATCTTCTTTACTGTTCTACTGAAAATTTTTTATAATAATAATAAGTCACCTATTCATCTTGGATGGCCTGAGGGTGAGAAGGTAAATTAACAGTGAATTTTCATTCTCCACTTTTCATTATCCACTTAGCTATATTACAAAAAAGATTGAAGATCTTTTTTGTCTTTACAGACATCATTTCTGCTTTTGATAACATTTGGGAACAATCAAACTGAGATAATATGTTCAGAACAAAAACCGACCGCCCTGCTTGGCATTGGCTTTGTTCTGGTTGGACCAAGTGTTCTCCTTCTGCTAAAGAGCACATGGAAGTTCTTTTTCAAAAGTGCAACCAGGCCCTCTAAAAAAACTATTTTTTGGGTAAGCAAACACAAGTGTTTAATGAATAGATTTATACTCTGTAAAAAAGTTGTTAATAAAGATTATTAGAGTGTGTTTTTCAAATTTTTTACTTGTTTCTTGGTGATTGTTATACTTACTAACAATTTCTAATTGAATATTGTTTTTACATCCAATTTTGTTTTAAGTCTAGTAAGCAGCATAGAACCTGATTTTGATGGCCATAACCATTCTGACTTTGATTCGAACTTTCTTATAGGTTCTGTGTGTTGAGTTCCTGGTAGCACTGGGAGCAGCAGTTCTAACAATAGTAGCCATGCCACATTTTGACATTGTCACCAATGTGATGATACTAAACAGCGTGAGCATCCTGTCCGCAGTGTTCCAGGTGGTCGCTGAGTGCCTTGCCAAAGAGAGAAAGCGGCTTATAATGCTCCCCGTATGCTCCATTTTCTTAACCGTCACAGGTTATATGTTCTTTGCGATCAGTTATTTGGTATTCGAAAGTTCCTTAGAGATAAATATATCAATTGGCCTTGCCATCATTGGGACCATCTGTGTTTCTGTGAACTGGTGGGAGAACTACAGCATGCTTTTTGCTGTACCATTTCTAGAGGACATTTCCAGAGACATCGCTCAGTCCCGTAACGTGGTCTGCATCATCTCCAGTTTGATGAGAATCCTGGTTACATCAGCTGTGGTTGGAGCTTATGTTCCTCTGTCAGGTCGAGAATGGAAATCGGTCAAACTCGTCTTCGAAACAGTTGTTGTTTCATTGGTGGCGATCCAGATTGCATCCTCTGCCTTGTGCCGCTGGTTTGGGGTTGTGGCTTGTAAGATGCACGCCCTGCGCCGCAGCTTCGTCCTGCCCATGTACCTGGCCTCGATCACAGTTTTGGCCGTGTTTTTTGTTCCAACTGCAGTCAGGCTCCCAAAGTCTAATCAAACTTCTACCTTTTTTGAGACCTTTCAGCCAAACTCCAGTGACGAATGGTTGCATTTGATGTTGACTGATGCTGTAAGAACTCTGAACACCAGAGACATTATGGTACACAAGAAGACAGGAGGACTGGCCTGTTTGGGCTGCTCTGCTCTGAGCTGGTGGCTGGGACTCATGCTCAGTACAGTTTACATCTGGTACCTGAAGATCCATCGAATAGAAAGAACCCAAGATCTGTTTGTGCGACGCATGTATGAAGGAGCATTTCTGGAACAGTCCATGTTGTTAAACACCCGTTTTGAAATCAGAAAGAGAATCAAGGAGAAGAAGTGGTAAGTGTTTTTACTTTCTAAGTATGGTTGCATATATTGGTAAACTATCAGCCAATATTAGAGATTTTTTTTATTTATCCATATCAATATTGAATATTTATTGGTGAACTGGTAAATTTATTTCATTTAAATCTTACATTGAATATCCATTTTAACACTTCATTATAATGCTATGATGCCTAAATTCAGTTATGGCGTTTATTGTTATTATTATTTTTATTTATTTTTTATTTTTTAATGTTTAATTTTTTATTGTATTGTATTTAGACAAAATACCCCAAAAAATGTAATTACAAATTAGATCTGTTTGATGTCTTAGTTCTCTTTCCTAGATGTGAGATTAAAAGACCACATGGAAATTTTGCTTAAATCTCACACTTATAGATGTTTCATCTGAGAAATATACCCCTGTGCTTTCACATGTATCTCCTCTAGAGTTTTAAAAGCATTTCAGCATTTCAAACTGTGCACACATTTACCAAAATACTGGCAATAAAATACGTCTGCAATAAAGCCCTGCTTCAAAAGGATCTCATCAGATTCTTCCAAAACCAATATATGAGAACTTCAAATCTGTTAAACTATGAAAGACCAAACTTTTCTTTGGATTTCTTAACATGAAATGACATAAATATTTAATGTACTCTTCAGTGCAAAAGAAACCATCAGAGTGTTTCTGTGTGCAACGATGTGGCATGAGACCTACGATGAAATGATGAAGATAATCATCTCTATGTTCAGGTAAACATAGACAACATTTACTCAACTTGTAGAAATTTCAGTTGAATTGTAATTGCAATACTATTTCTTTTATTACCAGGCTTGATAAATACAGGCCTAAGACTGACAAACAAAGTGATGTCGAGTTTGAATTCCATATTTATTTTGATGATGCTTTCAAGGATGTTAATAATGGAAAGCATGCAAATGAATATGCTGAAATTATTGTGGATGTAATTAAAGAAGTTTACACGTAAGAATCCTCCAGTTATATCTGTTTATGTGTTCTGAGAACTTATGTGCAAGACTAATCTACTAACACTTCACATACATTAGCATTTTCAGTGAAGAGGAGCCATGTATTTTCAAGCAGAAGGCAGCACTACCACACCAGAAGATCATAAACACCCCTTATGGGGGTCGACTGGAATACACTCTCCCTAAAGGCAATTTGATGATGGTTCACCTCAAAGACAAGACACTTATCCGTCACAAAAAAAGATGGTCAGATAAGGTAAGATTCATTAAAGACCCTGTTAAAATGGATCTACAGATGTTTTCTACCCACTTTTTCACTAATAATCTTTGTTTGCAGATAATGTACTTGTATTACATTCTTGGCTGGAGACTTAACAGACAGTACTTTGAAGAATTTGAGGCAGGTAAAGAGCTGGATTCCCTTAAGGAGAGACTGAAGGTTAGTGGCTTAACTTTAGACTTCATTACTAGTTTTTTTTTCTAGAAAGAATACAATATGTAAGAAAAAGTGAAGACGTCGAAGATCTTGATGAAGAATAACTTTTATTACAGAATAGCAGTGACAAAGTACAGGCACTTCGGATTCAGCGGAGTCAGAATGAACCACGAACATCCTAAGCTCAAACGTTTTATACTCTATTACGTTCATCTTCCCGCATGTAAATGAAGTTTCGTCTTAAATGTAAATTGCGGATAACAATGAAAGTGATAGCCTTCCGTTCCTACATCTTTGGTAGTCTTTCAGGTGGAAACAATCAAATGTTAAGGTGCAATTATATTCAAGTACCCTTTTGGTCAGCAGATGGTTCTTCCCACGCCATAGGTGACGATTGACGAAGTAACGTTCAGGAGATACTACACTGTAAATAGGTTGCTGTAAATTTTACAGTAACTTACTGGCAGCTGGATGCTAGTAAATTACCGTAAAAATGTTTACAGTATCATTACTGTAATGGCATTTACAGTACAATAATGTCTTTACTGTATTTTATTTACAGTATTATTACCGTATTTTCATTTACAGTATCAGTACTGTAATGGCATTTACAGTACAATGTCTTTACTGTATTTTATTTACAGTATTATTACCGTATTTTCATTTACAGTATCAGTACTGTAGAGTTTATTTTCATTTAGTTTAATCATTTTTTACCTGTAAAAACAATCCAATTGTGGTACTGCACCATGATTTTTACCATCCCAGCCCCCCCCCCCCAAAAAAATCACAATAACTCATGAGCTTTAGTTCTTATAATATAATTTTTAATTGTTGAACATTTTCTTTTTAAAAGTACAAATGACAAATCTTGACCTCTCAGATGCACTAACTTAAAAAAGGACATCACCACAGTCCCCTGGGGACTTTGTATCATGGAAAAACATACACATACTGAAAAGCAAAAATTAGCAAGTACACTACCAGTCAAAAGTTTTTGAACAGTAAGATTTTTAATGTTTTTTAAAGAATTATCTTCTGCTTTGATCCAAAATACAGCAAAAGCAGTAATATTGTGATATATTTTTACTACTTAAAATAACTGCTTTCTATTTGAATATGTTCAAATGTAATTTATTTTTGTGATCAAAGATGAATTTTCAGCATCAATACTCCAGTCTTCAGTGTCACATAATCCTTCAGAAATCATTCTAATATGCTGATAAACATTTTTTTATATTATTATCAATATTTAAAACAGTTGAGTAAATTTTTTTCAGGATTCTTTGATGAATAGAAAGATCCAAAAATCTGCATTTATCTGAAATAAAAAGCTTTTGTAACATTATATACTATACCATTCAAAACCTTGGAGTCAGTATAATGTTTTGGGGGGGGGAAGAAATGATAGAAATTACTACTTTTATTTAGCAAGGATGCTTTAAATTGATCAAAAGTGATGATAAAGACATTTAGAATGTTACAAAACATTTCTATTTCAGATAAATTATGTTCTTCTGAACTTTCTATTCATCAAAGAAACCTGAAAGAAATCTACTCAGCTGTTTTCAACATAATAATAACAATAATAATAATAATAATAATAGTTTTCTGAGCAGCAAATCAGAATATTAGAATGATTTCCAAAGGATCGTGTGACTAGAGTAATGATGCTAAAAGTTCAGCTTTGATCACAGGAATAAATTACATTTTAAAATATATTCAAATACAAAACA